TTTTTTGAAGTTATATAGTATAATCTTCCACTTTGTCAAATGTGGTTGTTATTTTTAACTGTTCACTGATTGGTTTAAGAGACACCAGGGCCTTAATAAGGAATACCTTTGAGTATGCTTGTGAGGGCCCTTCCAGAGTAGATTAATGGAGAGCATTAAGACATGCCCTGAATGTGGGTGGCACCATTCTATTGGCTGGAGTCAGGGAAAAGAGGCAAAGTCAGCTAACACCAGCATTCATCTCTCTTTGCTTCCCGATTGTGAACACAATATGCATAACCACCTATTGCTCTTGGTAACATTTCTTCCCAGCAATGATGGACTATATATTCCATCAAACCATGGGCCAAAATAAATCCCTCCTTCCTTAAGTTGTGCTTTTCATGTCATAGGTATGAGGAAAGTAAGCGGTCTACCCAGTCTTTGAACTTTGCTGGGTGCTGAGTTCTTCAACAGTTGCTGGCTGTTGCATGTCTTCTGCTTGCCCCTTTACATTTACCCGCCTCCCTTTCCTCTTTCTTGGCCCCAGGGGCTAACTTAAATGGAACATGTCAAAGATTCCTTTCTTTCTGGTTTCCCACTGGAAGGAGGTTGGAGGTAGAGGAATCCTTCAGACTAGTAGTACCTCCATCAGAAGTAACAGCTCCTATCAGGGGACCCAGTCCCTACAACTCCAGGTTCTGGTAACTACTCCTTGCTCTTGAGCTTTCAGATCTATGGATGAAAGTCCCCTGTTTTTGGCCTCAAATACTGTCTCCTCCCTTCTGTTTCCCCTGTACTGTAACCACACTTTTATAAATAACCTCCTCATAAAGCTTTTCTTAGTTTGCGTTTGAGTGTGCCATTTGTTTCCTTCCAAGACCCTCTCTGACTGATAGACTGATGCCCCGGATCTCCTGTTCCTACATTGCCAAGTTTGGATACTGTTCATTTTTATTTGCTTCCATCAGTCTGGAGCCCTGAATCCCCATGTGACTGATGTGGACAGAGCTCCACCCACAGTGTCCACAGTGGGCAGATGATGGAACTGAGGAATGAAACTTCTCTTGTATCATCACTGGGGGATTTCAATACTGAAGTACAGAGTAGCCCATGCATTGCACAGTTTGTTTTCTTATCCTGAAATGAGAGAAATGGTAATATTAGCCTCCTCACAGGGTTTTCTCAGAACTGAATTAAATTACAAAATGCTTAGCATAGTATCTGCTTCATGGTAAGTCATTAGCATTTGTGATTATTGTTAATTTTTCTTCAACAGCTGGATTTTTTAAAAGACGATTCTTATACTATATAATGGTAAAATGCTAGAGTCAAAGTTTTACATGAGTAGCCATAAATGTAATTCATATAATAAATCATATAGAGCACAACTTTTAAAAATCCTATCCATAAAGATTTCCCTGTTGTGGCCTAGCATTGGTGGCACACGCCGTTAATCCCAGTACTCAGGAGGCAGAGGCAGGCGGATCTCTGTGGGTTCTAGACCAGCCTGGTCTACAAGAGCTAGTACTAGGATATCCTCTAAAGCCACAGAGAAACCCTGTTTCGTAAAACAAAAACAAACAAAAAGATTTCCCTGTTGTGTAACCTGTTGCGTCAGGCTGAATGGAAGTTGATTTTGTGTCTTGAGATAGCATCAGTGTTGTAAGAACATACCCTCTAAGAAGCGTTGCTGGTAGGCATGTAGTCTGTTCCTGCTAGCTTATGCCATGATACAGAGACTATTCTTCAAATCCAAATTAGCTGTTTATCTTTTTGTAAATCAATTAAAATTTTTTGGAAAAGAAAGCATGTTGGAGGAACTTTGAGATGTCCTTTAGTCCCTAACAAGAATAGAGAAAGCAGGACAGGAACAACAACAACAACAACAAAAAAAAAAAAAAAAAAAAAAAAAAAAACATAAAGGAACTAACAGAGTATTCCAGCAGGAACGCTGTGGCGTGGGTACAAAAATAGCACCTCTGCAGAGGAAATGTTCATTTTGACTTTATGAAACCAGGAAATTTCCCTCCAATATTTGCACACAAAATAAGGGCTCCAACTAGGAATAAATATTGTTAGTCTATATGGTGACACTTAAAACTGAGAGGGACAGTCAATGTTCAGATTTACTGATGAGTACAAGGAGACTGAAGGAGGTCAGAAGCTGTGTGAGTGATCTGGGTTATAGGGCTCTCAGAAATACCCAGAAAATGACCATCAAGATGATGCAGCGGGTAAAGGCTCTTGTACAAGTTTGGCAACCTGAGTTCAAACCCTGGAATCCTTGTAAAGTGGGAGGAGAGAACTGACTCCGTAAAATTGCCTTCCAACCTCCACATATATGTGTGACACACAATAAGAGTAATTAAAAAAGAGACAAGAGCCTTACTATGTAGTCTTGGCTAGCCTGAAACTCACTGAATAGACCAGGTTAACCTCTAACGCACAGAAGTCCACCTGCCTCTGTCTCTTGAGTACTGAATTAAAGGCATGTGACACTATATCCAAATAATAATAATATTTTAATAACTAAATACCCAGAAAAGATATTTCTGGAAGAATTGACCCATCCCCAAAGAGGAACAGCTGGGACTATTGACTTTGATTGACAGGTCATTAAAAGAGGAAGACAGATTTAGTTCTAGTTGGGGTGGGGTGGACGATGTTGGAGTCAGTGGATTTCAGAAAGTATTGGGGAAGTGGCCATATTCAACAGTCCCGGCAAAACTAGATTTACTGGTTGTTTGTAGTTGCTGTGGGAAAATTCCATAGCCAAAGATAAAATAAGGTTGACAGAGTTTATTTTAGTGTATGATTCTAGAGTGACATAGTCTATTGATGGTGGGGAATGCATGGCATGTTAGCAGGAGCAGAAAACTGGATAATCACATCTTCTTTCTTTTACATTTGCATGTATACACAGGAAGTTAGGGTGGGGAGAAGTGGGACAAGCCTGCTGCCCCAGTGACATACTTCCAGCAAGGTTCCACCTCCTAAAGGTTCTATGACCTCCCCCAAACCACCAGCTGGGTACTCCATGAGCCTGTGGAGGACATTCTCATTCATACACTGCATCAGAAAAAGGAGCCCACACACTAACCTTGACATACCTTTATTAAATATAAGCAACACAATCAAGTTAAGGTTGAACAGCATGTAAACATAAAGAAAAATTAAGTTAACCCCTTGAATAAGAAAACTACAATAGTGAGGTCAGACTAGGAAAATATGCCTCCATCCCAATGGATGCAACTTTCTTCAGATTCCAAAACTGCTAAGGTAAATTAAGAAAGTGACAGACAATCTAGTATAGTGTTGCATACCTTTATCCCAGCACTTGGGAGACAGAGGCAGGTAGATTTCTATGAATTCAAGGTCAGCCAGGTCTGTACAGTGATCCCCTATCTCGTAATAATAATAATAATAATAATAATAATAATAATAATAATAATAATAATAATAATAAAAGGCCAGACAGTAGTGGTGCATAGTTTTAATCTCAGCACTCAGGAGACAGAGGCAGGTAGATTTCTGTGAGTTTGAGGCCAGCCTGGTCTACAGAGTGAATTCCAGGACAGCCAGGGCTGTTATACAAAGAAACCCTGTTTCAAAAAACCCCCTCAAAAGGAAGTGATAGGCATTCCAAAAGAGCTCTGTAGCTTGAGGGTTGAAAAGTTCTGACCCTAAAGAACTAAATCATAAGGCACCCTGAGAACAGAGCTCCCAGGGGAGGAACCTAGCAGAGTGAAAGAGGTATTTTTTAAAGTCCTTTTTTTTTTTAAATGGGCAGACTGAAATGATAGTGTCAGAGAGTGTATATTTGGGTTATTAAACTATAAAGGACAAAAGGGTCACTGTAAAATTTCACCGTGGTTATTTGTGAGTAAAGGGGGCTTGAGATTGGGGTGGGACACAAACACATGAAGGGGGCTGGCAAATTCTTGAATTGGTTAGTGGTAAGAATATTGACTTGCTTATAATTACTCACTAAACTAAGCATTTGGCTTGGTGCTTTAATTCCATAAGTAGTAGTGCTTTTGACTACAGATACTAGAAAAACCTGGCTAATACCAGCTTAAACAAAATAGATGTTTATCTTGAATCCCACCTGTGGCCTGATACTATGACTTGTGTCCTAGCCAGCATCTATGTGCCTCCATTGCTCTGTGGAGGTAAGGTGGCTGCATGTGCCATAGATATGACTAACCATCTTGTGGTAAACAGGTCAACCTCTACTGCAAAGCCATTTTCTGGTCCCAAACACTAGTAAGGCTAAAGTTGAGAAACCATGTTCTATAATCCTAACATTAAGGGCACTGAGGCAGGAGGATTGTGAGTGGTTCTAGGACAGCTTGGGTTATATAAGAGACTCTTTCTTAGTTATTTATTCTCTAACAAGTATCATTACTGGTAATTTGTCATGGACAAAGCCTTGGTCAGTCTTTTTAGCACCCCTACTCTGTGCTGGGTTCTGGGAGCACTGGGGTCAAAAAATGGGATTTCTGTAAAAATTTGCCAACCAAGCCGGGCAGTGGTGGCACACACCCTTAATCCCAGCACTCGGGAGGCAGAGACAGAAGGATCTCTGTGAGTTCAAGACCAGCCTGGTCTACAAGAGCTAGTTCCAGGACAGCCTCCAAAACCGCAGAGAAACTCTCTCTCGAAAAACCAAAAAAAAAGAAAAGCCAACCAACAAAAAGAGACAGATCACTTGACCCCCCCCCCCAATTTTTCTCTTCACAAGTTCTTTTCAGTATATTGTGGCATTAGGGCTGACAACAGTGTACTTAGGTGCAGGAGTCACGAGACTCAATGACCACATCAAACCTCATCTAGATTAGAAGTTTATCATGGAAATTTCCTTTTATCATTTACCAGACAGACCATCTGTCTTGACTACTGCTGGGTACCAAGCCATCTTGTTCCACCTAATATACAAATAGCCTCTATAAATCTGGAATTGGTGGCTTAAGGGCAGAAGCCAAAACTAATTTCTGTGCTTTGGGCCTACATTTCAGTGACCGTGTTGGCAATCTTTAATGAACTGCATGCAGATGTGGATCTTTATGCTCTTCTGTTTGGAGAGAGTGTCCTGAATGATGCTGTTGCCATTGTACTGTCCTCGTAAGTAACTCTTTCTGCAGGCGGGGGTCGGGGGGGGGGTAGGATAATGGTTCTGGCTTTGTCCTTCAGCAGAATTCAGGATGCTGATACCAGCATAGTATGGTGGCTGCAGCTTAAATTAAATGCATTTGCTCTGGGCAGTGCTTGGTAGACTTTATGTTTATTGGTATTTTCAGTTACAGAGCCTCCTTATACCCCAGGAATACAGTTTAAGACCCCTAGTAAATGCTTGAAACCATACTGAATCCTATTTACATTTTTCACACACATACATATATACATACAGATACTTATCTATAATAAAGGTAAGTATAAATTAGACAAGTAGAAAGTTAGCAATAACTAATAATAAAGTAGAACAATTAAAATAATGTCTTAATTGTAATAATATTATGCAACAAGACTACTCTTTCTCTTAAAATAACTTATTGTACTTTTCACTTGTAACATTTTATGGTTTCTCTTTGGCAGATCCAAATTATCAGCAACACTGTTCTTTCTCCTTGGAAACATTATCAAGTAAAACAAAGGTTGTTTGAGCATAAGTGCTGTAGTCTGATAACTTCAGTGGTTTCAGACTAATGTGGATACATTAGTTAAAGTAGTGACCCATGGCATGGACAGGATCTAGCTGGATGGCTTGAGATTTCATCATGCTGTTGAGAACAGTATGTAATTTAGAACTTAAGAGTTTATTGCTGTATTTTTCTACTTAACATTTTTAGATTGACGTTGACCTCAGGTAACTAAAACCATGGAAAGTGAAATAGTGAAGGAGGGTGGGGATTGTTTAGTGTATCAACCAGTGTGGTCTTTTTTTTCAAAAACAAAACTAAGATTTTCTCTCTCTTTCTTTTTGAACTCCAGGTCCATTGTTGCCTATCAGCCAGCAGGACTAAATACACACGCTTTTGATGCTGCTGCTTTTTTTAAGTCAGTTGGCATTTTTCTGGGCATATTTAGTGGCTCTTTTACCATGGGAGCTGTAACTGGTGTTGTGACTGCTCTAATATCCTTTTGGTTAGTTTGGCCCCTGCCTGGCCACACATATATGGTACTGTGTTTGCAAAGAGAAAATTCTCGGTTCCTCCTCTCAGATCAGAATCTTAAAGTGATTGTTCTCCTGAGATGTGGTACCTCCTCAGCTGGGTCAGACACAGTGACTGGGCCCCTCAGGAAGAACCTGGGAAACTGAACTCTGAGAGTTACAAAAGAAGAGGTAATGAAATGTGAGCAGGGGTATGTTGGGGTGTCCTAAGTGGGATGTATGGAGTTGGGGTACATATGATCAAAATACATTGTTAGCATGTATGAATTGTTAAGGAATAAGTAAAACAAATTCTATCAGAAGAGAATGTAAAGAAGGAAGGAAATAAAATATACTAAATAAAAATTTAAAGATGGGGAATTCAACTGTAGATTCTGCTTTGTCCTGACCTTTGTGGTTTCTCTCCCTTTCTTATAACTCAGTTGGAATACCCATTATAGGGGACGAAAAGACTGAGGAACCCAGACGAGGCTTGCAGTCAGTAACCACTGGTCAGGCAGCACTTTAGCTTCTGGTTACTGGTGCTTTCTGCAGGGACTGAGCATTTAGGCAGCCATAACTAACCCTGAGCCATTGATAGTCATTACTGGACTTTCTTCTGTGCCTTCCCTGAGAAAAGGATGGTATGATATTTAGTTTCAAATAACCAAACAAAAAGAAAAAGACGTGGTAGGAGCTGGCAGTCCCTCTACATATGTGTTGGATCCTCCATCACAACACCCTCTTTGCTTGGCATTACTACTGAATGTAATACAAACCGCATCTATTTTATGAGTAACCAGTATAGATAATATGGAAAATTATTAGTGAGATTTTTTGCTATTTGATTTTTGTTCTGGTCTTTGAGATATGTATCTTTTTTTCTTTGCAAAATCTCAGCTATGCCTAACTACATTTTAAGTGTTGAGAAGCTACAAGTGGCTAGCAGCTATTGTGTCAGACAGCACAAATCAAGACAGCTTTGTTTAATGGCCCCAATACTGAGGGTTTAGTTGCTCAGAGAACTGATTTGTGAGTTGGTTTTATGTTGATGGTGTATTGAATGGCAGTGGTAGAAGGAAGATTCCCTCTGGAGACCCCAGCACTTCTTTGCTGTTCCAGGAGTTACAGATTTCTTTTTTTTTCTGTCCCATACATGGGTCAGGCCTTCGTGATCCATGGGGATCAGATCCTTCAGAGCTTGTCTTCCAAGGCTTGCCTAAGACCTTCCCAGCCATATGAGACCTAACCTGTTAGTCCAGCCTGCCGTCAGAAATTTGTTCATAGAGTCATAGTAATTCATGCACTATAAAATTCACACATTTAGAGCATGAAATTCAATTGCTTTGCATTGCTTGTGTTATTACTTTTTAAAATAGTGGCAGTATGTAATAACATTTGCCTCAGTACACAATTTAAAGTTAGTAAGTGTAGGAGGCAACAAGATGGCTCAGCAGGTAAGGACTTTGCCACAAAGCCTGATGACCTGAGCCTGATCACTGGAGCCCACATGCTAGAAGAAAACTACTCCCTATAAATTGTCCTCTGACAATTTCATATGCTTGCTTAGCAGGCACTTGTGTAACACACACACTCTCTCTCTCTCTCTCTCTCTCTCTCTCTCTCTCTCTCTCTCTCACACACACACACACACACACACACACACACACACAGTCTCACACACACTCACTCTCATACACACAACACACACACACACCATTTTAAGTTATTAAATACATTCACAGTGTAGATTATCCATTCCTACTGCCTATTCACAGAATGCCAGTCTTCATCTTAGGCAGATACTCTGTGACAATTCAACAACTTTATACTCCAGCTCTGGCTCTGGTAACCTGTATTCTATTGTAAAGTTTCTTTTATTTTGTATGGTAGTGGGGGATAATCAAACCCAGAACCTGCAAACATGCTAGCCAAGTGCTTACCATTTAGCTACACCAGCTAAACGTAAAGCTTAATTTTTTTTATTTTTGTTACTTGAAAATTGAGCTCAGGGATGATGGCTCAGTGGTTAAGAGCACTGGCTGCTCTTCAGAGGACCCAGGTTCAATTCCCAGCAACCACATGGCAGCTCACAACTGTCTATAACCACATTTCCAGGGTGCCTGACACCCTCACACAGACATACATGCAGGCAGAACCCTAATGTACATATAATAAAACATAAATAATTTTAAAAAAAGAAAGAATATTGAGCTGTGTGTGGTAATGGTAGTGTATACCTTTAATTCCAGCAATTGGGAGGTAGAGGCCAGTGGATCTCTGTGAGTTTGAGTCCAGCCTGGTCTACACAGTGAGTTTCAGGACAGCCAAGGTTACATAAAGAAACCCTGTCTCAAAAAAAAAGAAAAGAAAAAAGAAAGCATGCCTGATTAGGGATGTGTGGCTGAATGGTGGAGTACCAGCCTAGCATGTTCAGGGCTCTTAAGCTCCATCCCGACATTGTAACATTTAAAAAGAGAGATAAGACACCTCCCAAGGAGGTATAGGGAATGGATGGCCCTTAGAAGAGGGGACTCAGGCTAAAAGAGTGGGGTTCTCAAGTGTCCCTGCTGCCCATGCCCAGAGCTGCTGTCCTTAACCTAGTGCTGACGTGACCAAGTTTACTAAGCTGCACTGCTTCCCCCTGCTGGAGACAGCGCTTTTCTTCCTGATGTCCTGGAGCACGTTTCTTTTGGCTGAAGCCTGTGGATTTACAGGTAGGTTAATGCCAGGCTCAGCAGGGCCTGTGAGAGAGGGAGGGAAGGCTCACCTGCCATAAATTTTCCGTGTCAGTAGACTTTTTGTCCTGCCTCTTCTTTCCCACTGAATTTTAGAAACTCTTTTGACAGGTGTTGTAGCTGTCCTTTTCTGTGGGATTACACAAGCTCATTATACATACAACAATCTGTCAGTGGAATCAAGAAGTCGAAGCAAGCAGGTAAGAGAGGCCCTTAAGCCTGATGGGCTTCTAGGTAGCATGGCAGGAGGAGTGCAGAGTTCACAGCCTGCTCTTTCCTTCTTCATACAGCTTTTTGAGGTGTTACACTTTCTGGCAGAGAACTTCATCTTCTCCTACATGGGCCTGGCACTGTTCACCTTCCAGAAGCATGTTTTCAGCCCCATTTTCATCATCGGTGCTTTTGTATCCTTTTCTTATTCCACATTGTACACAGAGAGGTTACCTCTGTTGGGAAAGTTGTATAACCACTAAGAATAACCATTTGATCACTGTCTCTGTTTTGAGTGGGTAATTGGGACAGTTATGGTTTGGGGGCAGAATGTATTTGATTCCAAGGAATGACTTTTTTTGTGGAATTTTCTGTTTTAAGTTAGTGCTTGATGGACTATCATTTGTTTTGTAGAGCTCTGTCCCAAGTAGATGTAAAAGTCAATAACCATGTCAGTCCTCATAATTATTTTTGACATGCCACTGCTATGCCAATGTAACACAGGCAGTTTCCTGATTTTGGTGACTAGAAAGTTCCAATCCTCTTGCTCTCAGCTGCATAGTCCAGCTTGGCCAGCCATACGTGTGAGTGGACAGTGACCATGCTTTCACCCAAGATACCCTGCTGCTGTGAATTATGCTGGGAGAGATACCTTTGCTTTTCTAAAACAAGAAGGAAGGAAGGTTTGGAAGGAGGGGGAGGGGAGGAAAAAAGAACAGATAAAGATACTGATAGGATTGGAGGGAAGGAGGAAGAAGAAGAAAGGAGAAGAAAAGACAATATAAAATACCTAGTTCTTTGACTTGGGATGTTGGGAATAGAGTGTTTGGAAAGGGCACACTTTGGGTGCTCTGCAGGACAGATGTGAGTAGCCAGCAGTAGTTCAGTGGCTGAGGTTTTGGCTCACTTGGTCTTAGATACTGTCATTTTCATTAAAGTAAACATTTCTGGCCCTGGATTTCAAGGTCCCGTTCCCATTGCTGGATATTTGCCTTTTTTTGCCTTTTTGAGGCCTCATGGGAAACCTTAACTCATTGTTATCTAAAAAGAGTATTTTTATCTTCTGGGGTTTTCATTTCCTGTGCAAGAATGTGAGGGGCTATCCCTTCTTAGCTACTAGATAGTGACAGTGCTGGAATCTCGGTTAGGGTCTTACTAGTGGCTTCACACATTCACTAGAGGAAGAGCTTAGAATCTGCTGGATGAGTTTTTCTTTACTCAGACTTAGCATGTTGCTCTGATTTGTATTTCCTGCACTGCATACTGGACGAGATAGTGGGAGGAAGGCCTTGTTTACAGATCAGGGCCTGTTGGCTGGGTGAGCCACGTCCTCTGGGAGTCTGAAAGGCTGCTGGCCATTTGAGGCTTTTTCCTGCACCTTTGAGATATATGTGTGCATTACAAGCATTGCCCATTTCCTTTTGTTAAAAACAAAACCAAACAAGGAAAGGAAGAAAGACCAAAAAAAAAAAAAAAAGCAGGAACACAGTTTACATTTACCCTGGAGGAAGTTGAAGATACTTTGGCCCTGGTTTCTGTCTGAAACAGCTGTGGCTGCTGCAGCTGGTGCATTGCTTGGCGGAAGCTCTCTGTTTGCTGGCTCCCGCCTGAGTTTCCTTCTCTGACCAGGGGATTGTGCTGCTCTCTCTGTTGGGTGCTGTTTAAACTTGGCAAGGGCAAGGTGACTGGTTTCCCTGAATACTTTGCTTTTCACAGTAGAATTCCTTTTTCACATTCATCCATTTCTTCTTCTTACATCCCCAAAGGCCACTTAAGCTACATAGGCAGAGACCTCTGACTTCATTTCTGTGAGTGAATGTCTCTTTGTGGTAAGAGACTTGAGGCTTGAGGGTTCCTCACTCCTATTTTTGGGTGCTCCCTGGGCATTGGCCATTGAAGTCCCTAATGTTTTGTTGTTGTTGTTGTTTTTGCAAATGAAGCCTGCTGGCTCTTTCCCAGCAAACCTTCTACAGTTTGACTCCAGGATTATTTTTCTTTCTTGTTGTTTTCCTTCTAGTAGAGCCCAATATAGTGTGTGCTTTGTTCAGTCCTCACTTTAGGTTACTTCTGGACTGATTTGTAGTGAAATCAAGGAATCTGTCAATACCGGTTCAATTCAGTTCAAACGTTAAAACAACATGTTTATAAACTGTAAATTAATGAACTAAGAAGTGGGAAAGTTGCCCAGTGACTCCCATTTTGTTGCTGAGAGATTGTTCTCTTGGGCATCCGAGCCTTCTGACTTCTTTGGGCAGCTGTCTGCATGACAGCATTCGTAAAATTCTGTGGTCAACCAGACTGTTTTGAAGTGCCATTCTGGAAGCTTGCTGGGTCCTTAACCTCACCTGGTGGTCAGGTTGCCATCTTCTTGGGCAGAGCTGCACATATCTACCCACTCTCCTTCTTCCTCAACTTGGGCAGAAGGCATAAGATTGGCTGGAATTTCCAACACATGATGATGTTTTCAGGTAAAATAGATTTATATGTAAAGGAAATAAATTCTATTTAGCAAATAGTGGTAATTTGACTAAAATATAATCAGCTGGGTTTGATAGCACATCTGTAATTACAGGCTAGGAAGTGGGAGGCAGAAGAATGAGTAGTTCAAGGCCATACTTGGGTGCATATTGAGTTTGATGGCAGCCTGGGCTAAATGAGATCCTGTCTCAAAACTGCTAAATGAGATCCTGTCTCAAAACTCCTGTTACAGCCGGGCAAAGTTGGTGGCGCACATCTTTAATCCTAGTACTCGGGAGGCAGAGGCAGGCAGATCTCTAAGTTGGAGGCCACTCTGGTCTCCAGAGAGAGTGCCAGGATAGGCTCCAAAGCTACACAGAAGAAACCCTATCTCGAAAAACCAAAAAAAACCCTCCTGTTACAGGTCAACCTATCTTTTTACTCTTCTGTGAGGTCCCCCCGCTCCCCCCCTGCTAAGAAATACTGCCCTGTTTTCCACAAGTGTGCATTTGAACATACTCATACTCAGCCAACATTTCTGTTGACTGGTACTTAGATAGAAGATGCAGAGAGTTTGTTATTGTACAAGTTTCTTTTTCTTTTAGGTCACTAGCAGGAGAATCAGTTAAATAGTAAGAGTGGTTAGTATTCTAGAATATGCTGTACAAAGTGGTGCTGTGTTTTTCTTCTCATGCTGGGAATTCTGTGAAAGCCAGCTTCAAAGCAAAGAAGACCATGCACGTTTGAGGTGCTTCTGTGTGGGTTAAGCAGCCAGGTTCCCAAAGCATGTGGTTAGAGATTTGTTATCCCCATAGTGGCAGTGCATTTTGAGGAATTGTCATCAGGTCCTCTCATCACCAGGAGATCTTCCTGTTTGGTCCCCACAGGCCTGAGGGGAGCGATGGCATTTGCACTTGCCATCCGTGACACGGCATCCTACTCCCGCCAGATGATGTTCACAACCACGCTACTCATCGTCTTCTTCACTGTCTGGGTCATCGGTGGAGGCACAACGCCCATGCTGTCATGGCTCAATATAAGGTCAGTTTGGAAGCAAGCCAATTTTGTGTCTAAATGTGTCAGTTGTCACAGTGTTTGAGAATGCTCAATGTGCTGTGCAGGCTGTGCTTGTGAAAGGGTCTCATTCTTTTGCTTTAAGCAATGTGTTTGGGGGTGTATTTTATATTTTTTAAATTAAAATTTGAGGTATTGAGATTTTTCAGGATACAAAAGTGTTATTGAATTAAAAAAGCAATTTGAAATAAAATTTATCACTATACACAGGAAGCTAGGATGAGCTGGCTCTCACTAGGGCAGTGACTTTAGTACAAGAGTTCAAAGTCTTAAAGCTACAGGAAGAGGGAACAGACTTGTACCCGTGGTGATGTTTCCTGTTCCTTTGCAATGAAGAAGCTCCTTATTCAGAAATTAAAAGAGACAAGTAGAGTTTTACTTTCTTAGGAATTTGTATGCCATGCCTCTTCTTGCTTCTGTGCAAAAAAAGAGATGGTATTTTCTGTGTAACCATCGTCTGTTATAGCCCCATGGCATCGTTTGTGTGTGCTCTGTAGCTTTGTCAGGGCAGAGGGATGTTGACCTGGCTTTGATTTTTAATTTTTCCTTGATCCTCCTGCCTCTACTTCTTAAGCAATTGGGACTATGGGAATGTGTCTCCACACCCAGACTGTCAAAAGATTTCTATTGCTTTGAAGAGACATCGTGACCATGGCGACTCTTATTAAGGAAAACATTTAGTTGGCTCACGTACAGTTTCAAAGGTTCAGTCCATTATCATCATGGCAGGACGTGGTGCCATGCAGGCAGACCTGGTGCTGGAGCAGGAGCTGAGAGTAGGAAGGAACTATATCTTGCTCTCACAGGCAACAGGACGTGGTCTGGCACACTGGGCTTGGCTTCACCTCATATGAGACATCAAAATCCACCCCCACATTAACACACTGTCTTCAACAAGGCCATATCTACTCCAACAAAGCCACACCTCCTAATAGTCACACTTCTTATGAGCTTATGGGGGCAGTTACTTTCAAATTATTACACAGATTTAGGAATTTCATCTTGTAAAGAGCATTGGGATTCTGTACTGTGATCTACAGTACTGTATAGTCAAAAAGGAATTGACTGGAACAGGAGTCCAGACCCACAGCCCGATACTGACTGATCTCTGATCCCTCATGTCTTTAAGCTCCAGTTTTCCTCAAAGGAAATGAGACCTTATGCCAGAGTACTTCCAGGGTCCTCCACATCCACATGTTAAACTCTGCTTCTCTATTCTGTGTCACTGGAGATTCTCTGGCCACCTGCTGTATGTAGTTTCATGTCTGCATACGGTAAGGAGGCACTTGGGTAATGTAAATGCCGGAAGAGTCACTCTCTAAAGAGCCACAAGGTGGCAGTATATCTTTCTCTATTGTTCTTTAGTTTGTTTTCCCTCCTCTAGAATATAGAATGCCAAAGATAGTTGGAGCTCCTATACATTTCAGAGGAGAGAAACAGGACTTGAGAGAATAGCCTTTTCCATCTGAGGCTTTTCTACTGATGGCAGGCAGGGATTCCTGGGTTTGGCCACTGCCAGTTATGCCATTTCTGGGCTAGTGTGTCTCAGATTACAGATCAAGGCAGGGGCTTCTTGGTGACAATCTGTGCTCACTCACGTTGGCATTGCTAGTACCATTTGCATTTCCTGTGTATGTAGTAAGATATGGTTCTCACGACATTCCCATAGTGGAGATAATACTGCAATCTCTACTTTAGAGTTGGGGAAATGAGACACAGAGCAATGATTTTGCTCTAGGTCACAGAGTGTTAAGAGGATGAGGTGGGACTGGAATTCAGGAAGTCTTGCCATGACTTAACCACTGTGCCGTCTATTTGTAAGAAGGGTTGTGCTGCTAAAGACTACTTTCCTCATAAAATTTGGAGTGTTTAGAATTTCAGCTTCCTAGCTTTAATTCTAAGGGTCAGATTAAAAAACATAGTCCATGCTTGGGAATATAACCCTAAAGAAAGAACTTATAGTTATGTGGTGTTCACCTTGAGATACCAGATGGTTTTGTCTCTGATCTTTGTAGTAGCATGAGGCTAAGACAGGTGCTTGATCCTGTGTACAACTGAGAGTTTGCATTCACTGACCTGTGAAGTTACTCTCTGCCAGAGTCAGAGTTTTGGAATAGAGATACCCATCTTGTATAGAGAGTTGTCAGCTAATTTTATAACTTCATCAGATTCTTTGATATTTGCGTTTATCATTGGCTTTTGCAAACATTGAACAATACTATATAGCTTATCAGGAGTTTTTAGAAACTTTGAAGTCTATTATGATTTCTTTCTCATTCCATTCATAAAAATGCACTTCATGTATTCAGAAAATATTCACACTTATGCCTAATTTTATATGAGTAATTTAAAGCAACTCCCTAAATGCATAAAAGTTCCAGGCCTCTCATTATTTTTTGTGATTCTCAGAAACTGTAGTAAGTTGCATAAGAACGTAGACTTCAAAGATGTGTTAAAAACTGTAACCCACCATCATATAACTAAGAACAAAGGCAAACTGTCTGGCTTTTGAAGTGTGATGTTAGTGATGTTAGAACTCAAGGCCTCAGCATGCTGGGCAAGTGCTGGACCAGTGAGACACATCCTCATTATCTAACCTGTTTAACCCTTTCCTTACCTGTAGAACACTTAAAAAACCACAATATATGCACGAATATGTAATTGGTTGTTTAAAAATATTCCAGGATTCCCCGTGGATAGTAAACCCTGCAGATGCTCAAGGCCCTTATAAAGGTGGGGTAGTGTTTGTCCAAAACCCATGCCCATCATCCCAATACTTTAAATGGTCTCTAAAAGCCTTTGGCACTTCCTACAAAGTAAATGTTATGTAAACAACTGTGGTGCCATATTATGTGTGGAATCTTGACAAGAAAAAAAGGTATACATGCTCATTACAGAAGCAATTTGGGTGGGAAATACCCTTGAATTAATCAGTACAGGAGACCGCTTCCTGAACATTACACCAGTAGCACAGACACTGAGGCCAACAATTGATAAATGGGACCTCCTGAAACTGAGAAGCTTCTGTAAGGCAAAGGAGACAGTCAGAAGACAAAACAGCAGCCCACAGACTGGGAAAAGATATTCACCCCCACAACATCTAGCAGAGGGCTGATCTCCAAAATATACAAAGAATGCAAGAAGCTAGTCCCCCAAACACCAAACAATCCAATTAAAAAGTGGGGTACAGAACTAAATAGACAATTCTCAATAGAGGAATCTAAAATGGCTGAAAGACACATGAGAAAGTATTCAACATTCTTAGTCATCAGGGAAATGCAAATCTAAACAACTCTAAGATACCATCTTACTCCTGTCAGAATGGCTAAAATCAAAAATACCAATGACAGTTTATGCTGGAGAGGATGCCGAGAAAGAGGAACACTCCTCCACTGCTGGTGGTGGGAGTGCCTACTTGTACAGCCACTGTGGAAATCAGTATGGCAACTCCTCAAGAAAATGGGAATGAGTCTACTACCACAAGATCCAGCAATTCCACTCCTAGGCATATACCCAAAAGAAGCACATTAATACAACAAGGACAAATGTTCAACCATGTTCATAGCAGCATCATTTGTAATATCCAGAAACTGGAAGCAGCCTAGATGCCCCTCAACTGAAGAATGGATAGAGAAATTGTAGTACATTTATACAATGGAGTACTACTCAGCAGAAAAAAACAATGGAATCTTGAAATTTGCAGGCAAATGGATTGAACTCGAAGAAACCATTCTGAGCGAGGTAACCCAATCACAAAAAGACAAACATGATATGTACTCACTCATATGTGGACCTGCTTTATATGATACATAGTAGTGACCATGTTTTATCAGAGCTGTTTTTAATGATATTGCTCAGAATGGTTTCCTCCCAGATGATGACTGTGAAGCTAATTTTAAAAAACGGTGCCAAGTACCACAAGAGTAACAAAACTGCGCTGTTTTCCGTGCTTTTGCTTTTTACTTTTTTGTTGTTGATGTTGTTGTTTGTTTGTTTTTTTGTTTTTGTTTTTTTTTGGTTTTTGTTTTTTTAAATGGAGAGTGCTGGATGTCTCTACAATTTTGTTCAAATGACTGCAGAACCTGGAAAAGCTGTTGCTGCTATTGATGCATAACATATTGCCATTATTGCTCTTTTTATATAAATATATAAGCTATTTGAAACTCAAATATGTGATGAATCCAAGGTGTTTCAGTGAGTGCTCACCTGTGCATGCAAATTTGATTTCATCTTTAGTAAGTAGTAAAGTTATATGCTTGCCAAAAAAAATAATAAGTGACACACTGCAAGACAAATGTCACACAATTTCAATTTTATATGTAACCTAGAAATGATGAGCTTATGGGAACAGAGAGCAGAATTGTGGCTATTAGGCTTCAATGTGGGTCTTTTAACAATGGGGAAACGATTGGTTTAAGGATATAAAACTGCAGTTGGACAAGAGGCATGGACTCTGTGAAGTCTTAAGGTCTACTGAGAGCATGATAAATATGGTTGATAACAATATGCTATATTTTAAAAGTTGTGAGATAGTATAATCTAAGTGTTCTCAAAACAAAAATGATGAATATGTGTGATGTAACATGCTAATTGGTTTAATTTAGCCATGCCATTGTGAACATACTGTATTGTGTATCATAATTGTGCATGACTTTATTTATGAGCTAAATAAATGAATGAAAAAATGAAGCAATTTGGGGGGATATGTTTAATCTGGGATTGATTGGATTCCCACACACAGAGTTTATCCATGTGGAGGGTCAACTGAGTACACAAAGCAAAGAGGGCATTACCCTCTGGACATAGTGAATGATCAGAAAAGGACTCCTCAAGCAAGAACTGTTGGTTATCAGATAGCTAATAAACAAAAGTTTGTCATTTTCTCAGACTCTGTGATGTTTGTATTTATCATGGACTTTTGAAAATATTGAGCAATAGTATATAACTTATCAGGGGTTTCTGAAAAC